GTGTGATGGACAAGCGCAGGTAGTTTAAGGAGACAGGTGTGATGGACAAGCGCAGGTAGGTTAACGAGACAGGTGTGATGGACAAGCGCAGGTAGGTTAACGAGACAGGTGTGATGGACAAGCGCAGGTAGGTTAACGAGACATCTCGTGATGGACAAGCGCAGGTAGGTTAACAAATATTTCAAAATTCCCCAGACCCCCCTAGTGCTGGCGGGCCCGCGGCACGGCAGCCCAGGTACATTTTGCTCTTTTTTTTCGCGGCGCAGTCTGCTCCCGATCAGTCAGCTGGAGTTTGTTCTCATTCACACGATGCCGCTGGAGGATGAGACAGGTGTGATGGACAAGCGCAGGTAGGTTAACGAGACAGGTGTGATGGACAAGCGCAGGTAGGTTAACGAGACAGGTGTGATGGACAAGCAAGCCATTTTCCTGCAATCTGAGGCATACTGTGGGCCATATTCTGATATCTGATGACACTATCTCAACCCTACAATTTAGGATTTAAAACACAATTTTTTTTTCTGGGCCTGCAAACTGGGGGGGGGGGGCTCCGTCCTATGCTGAATACACCACTGGACCTCAGCTAGGGCGAAAGACATGTGGGACGATATGCGGGGTTGTCCGTAGGAATTTCAGATGGCATGTCATTTGTGGACGGATGGGGGAGGGCCGTAAAAGGCTTGCGTACCAGATATAGAGTCAAAATACATCTCTTTTGTTTCCCTAGAAATCTACGTCTCTATGTTGCATTATGGAACTGTGGTTATGCAACGCATACCTGTGGGATTCGGCAGCCATCTTGTTATGCCGGACGAACGCGTCGCTCATGCTCTCCTCTATCATCTTAATCTGCGCCTTGCTGTAAACACAAGAACATTCACACGTATATAAATGCTATGTAATACTAATATATACATCTAATGTAGCTTATTACCATAACAACGTTCTGTTACACCATCAAAACACACACGTGCTGGCAACAATTCATAAAATTCTTGGAATGTAGGAATTTAATAGCTTTTACACTATCGCATCAATTAGATTTTTTCTCTACGAAAAGATCTTTATCAAGTACATGTACTTGTAATTGAATTATATGTAATATAGAAGAAGAAGAATGAGGTAGTAGAAGACAATACGAAGGAAGATCGCACGGACAATATGGCGGCCGATCGCACGGACAATATGGCGGCCGATCGCATGTACTCGTTAACCGTAATGCTCGTCACCTCTTGCAGTTTGTGATGCAGACGATTCTTCCTCCGTTCGACAGGTCCGTCTCCGTCGTCGCCGCCTCGCCCGCGTCCGGCGTCCGCCTCTGCTGCCGCTCCGTCGGTTCGCAGAGCGTCGCTATCGCCTTGGCGATGGCTGCGGTGATGCTGCAGTCGTCTTGGTCGCACGACGAGGAAGGCGAACCGTGCTCCGCTAGATGTGCCATCACCTAATAAAGACAGATGCTGGTCGCGTGACCACGATGCGTGCGCTGGCGTTGCTGTATCACCTTTACTGGTATATCAGGGGCGTGTACAGGGGGGGGGATCCAGGGGGTCCGGACCCACCCCCTGCTCGCACAGAAAACGCATCTAAGGGGGTCTAATTTCAAAAATGTTATGGGGGGACCCCCCCTTCGCGTGCTCGCAAGTTTGGGTTACGGTTAGACCACCCCCTGGTACAAATCCTGTACACGCCCCTGTGTATCGCACATGATGTGCACTGATAGAGGGTGCAGTGCTAAAGCTGGCGTGGGCAGGTTTGTATGTTGAATTAGGTAGGGGAGTAATGCATAAGGCGAGCATTTAAAAACGTGACTGTTTATATCTTTGAACAAATTATTCACAATAAGCAACTAATGTGCTTATTGTATGCTCTGGAAAATTTCCGCTTTGACTTCTTAATTTGGATCGCATGATGCTTTGTTGCTCACTCTAGATGGAAATTCCTAAAAAGGAATTAATTAACAAGGTATGCTTGACACCTTTACGTGATAATCTAGTTTGGCAATACACTTACGTGACTTAATTAGGTTACATTACCTGATCCAGGCCCTGTGCATCTTGGTTCCATGATACGGGAAACGCTGGTAACTTAGGATCACTCAAAACAAACCGAATCTGTGAGAATAAACGAAATAATGCATTGTTAATTACATTAATTTCATTATTAATTTTTTTACCTACTGTATCATGTATGTATTTATAACTGTATTACATAAATTATTATCAAAAGTATTTCTGTTGTTTATTTAGACAAAACTGTCAAAAGCAGACTAAACTGTAATTTGTAAACGATCAAAGCCGGACGCGTAGTCGACTTAGTCGCTAGTCAGCGACTAATTAACTGATTAACTGATTATATGCATTTCCATGTATAAAGCTCTGTGTTTAAAATTACCAGTTTATCTGTGGCAAAAATGTCGTATACAATTCTACAGTATTCAACGACGGCTTCAACGGCGCACGTCCATAATGTCTTTGTAATCGGTGCCAAAGGAATAACCCCAGGTCGAGCTTTGTTGAAGATGTCATATTCGACAACAACTTTGCTAGATTGTAGAAAAGCTGGGCTGTGGTCGAGAACAAAAAGAGTTTTGTGTGATAGTGGCACGGCCATTTCTGACGCTTGTTTCGTCCTCAGAGAATTCGTTCATAAACTACGAGCGATTTAAACATAGTTCAGCTGCCCAAGAGACGACGAAAACTCCGACATGGGCGCAGACATCTTTACTGTCGTATCATGCTTGATAAACCAATCACGTCACAGCTGCCCAGCCCACCATTCGCACCAATCAGCGTTGTTTTCCCTTCATTTCTGCCAATCGTAGCGCCGAGAATGTGACGTCACGAGGCCCGGGCACCGCCTCAGGGTACTGCATGTCCTCTACGTAGCACGTGATTAGGTCACAGCCGACGTTGTTAGGTGAGGACTTGTTTGCTCTTAGTCTTAATTTCTAAAAAAAACATTGATAATTTTAGTTACATAACTTGACATTACTACGACATTAGCTCGGTAAACAATCGCTACTGATATCCCCTGTTTGCATTTATATGCAAATCACGCGTAGCCGTAAGTGCTATTTGAGTATTTCAATGTGAGCTGCAAACGTGATTCTGCAAACGTTAGTGTGCAAGTTCAATCAATCATGCCATGCCCATGCCCATGGCGTTAAGTGCAGCTTATCAGTTATCTCCGCTACAGTTGAGTTGGTACACACTTTCACTTTTCTCTACGCATTAAGTTGATTAACATCTTCCGACCTTCGCTCCGAAAGCTATGTACCTGTTGGGGAGCGAAGGTTATGTGGTTAAAACTGCTGTATAATCGGTAGATACAATAATGTAACCCAAACCCAAGAGGATAGGCCCCTATCCTCTTGGGTTTGGGTTACATTATTGTATCTATATAATCGGTAACTGCCATTACTCATAACATTTAGCACGTGGTTACGCTCAGCCTCAGGGCCTATCTCCGCCATGAACCTATTTATGCTGACATTCCAGACACCACTGATTAACCAGTCTATTTATTATTATTATCGTGGCCCAATCCTATTTTAGCATCCGGATTAGTTTAGCGATTTGTGGACATGAGGCCTGGGATCCCAAACTAGGATTGCGCAGTAACTGTGTAATTACTCTATACCGTACGGCTGTGTACGGTTGTGTTACTCCGTCCGTGCGCGCTCAGTTACGGGCGTGCGTGCATACGTTCGTTGACGCGTGCGTGCGTTTGTTGTCGTGTGAGTGTGCGTTATAGTGATGTCACGATCATCGATTATACTCGATCATCGGTTGAACAGTGGCTCGAACCAAGCGCCTAGTGATGTCACGATCATCGATTATACTCGATCATCGGTTGAACAGTGGCTCGAACCAAGCGCTTGGTTATCAAAATATATAATCGATTTCATCGAAAAAAAGAAGAGAATCAGAGATATCATCGCTACTATACAAGTTATCCTTTATTAGCATACATGTGTTATACACACAGTATAGTAAACAGTGTAAAACAAACAGTAAACAGGGCTAAACAAGCACATACATGCACACACGTACATGCACACGACGTTACGCACACGCAGGCATTCAACACCCCGAGTAACCGATTGTAACCGATCATTGGTTGCTTGGGTCCAACCGATGATCGATTACGAAATTACAACCGATTGACAGCACTAGTGTGCGTGCATCTGTTTGTCGTTAACGCTACCGTTCGCTTGTCCGTTCGCAGCTAGCCGCACGGAAACGACACACGAGTGAAGATGTTGGCGACTCGACACAGCAACCGCCTTCAGGGCCTCGTCGCCACGATCTGCCGCCATTACAGCGCGGGCGCGGACAACGTCCTCGGTGCTTGCAGCGCCACTAACGAGCCGGTGCTGGGTTACCTGAAGGGGAGCGAGGAGCGGATCGCTCTGGAGAAGGCGCTGGAAAAGTAAGGCAGGGTTTCTTCTGAGGGGAAATTAGAGAAAGGAGGTAATGGCCAGTTTGGGAAAAAAACGTGCATGATGGATTCAAATACAGGATGTATTGATATACTTATAGGTATATAGATGCAGGATATACTCATCAGTAAATACAGGAACATTTTCACAACGGCGATGTTAAATTTGACAACGGCAGTGCGCTACTGTGCCTCCTATGTATAAGAAACCCTGTAAGGGCCCGAAGATATAACAGCTGTCCACATTTGCTCATGTCGCACATGGCGAAAATGAATTGGGGACAGTTTTTATAATATCCT